TAAACAATACTCAGAATTATTTATAAATGGCTACACGAGTATATCTAGCCATGGTATTCATTTATGTAAATCTGGTCACACTAAGCATCTTTCTTGTGGGAAGACAATAGCGTTCAATGGTATTTTTATTGAAGCAAATTTTATTACAACGGACTTGATCACTACAGACATAAAATCAGGTTCAGGCGATAGCGGAGGACCTGTATTTTATTTTTCGAAAGAGTTGAACTCAGTGAATTTAGTTGGCATACACGCTGCAAGTGATAAAAGTGGAAATACTAAGGCGGCTTATACTCAACCAATAGAATTCATTTTCAAGAACAGTCCATTTGAAATACATCTTGTTAATATAACTAATCAATAAAAACATATTCTTTGTATTAGTTAGGTACGTTGTAAAAGGGGAATGCGTGTTACGAAAAAACAAAATCATCAATTAAATTACTATATTTTTTTTCGTCATGTCTGTTATTAGTACAGTAATAGTAAATTTATTGCGTAAATACGTTACTTTATTAAACTTTCGCACATTACTACATATTTGTGTAGAATTAAAAGTTATGACTATATTTTGCGTAATGCTTTTCTAGCTTATTTGAGTCTAATAAAAATCTATATAAAGGGTTATACGTTGCTATAAAAAGCAGATCTTCTTTGCTATCGATCGCTATCGAATAATAGATCTTGTTTTACTCTAACATAAAGCACTTTTATCTTTCTCTCTTTTCCTGCTCTTGTTTGAATAATAATAAATAGTGTAAATATAAAATATATACTTAGCGTTCTTAAAAAAATAATATCCATTATCCAATGCTTTACTATGATCAGCATATAAAACCCTTATTTCAGTCAAAAAACTTTTTACCTCAAACAACCTTTTTTTTGCATTGATTTATTAAGCTTCATAACTGTTAAAGTAAATAGAGTTACTGTTCAAGCGTTTTCATATTTTTTATTATGATATTCGTTATCAACACACTAACGGAGTGCCGTTACATTGTTTTTTTTTTTATAAACTATTTAAAATTTATTCAAGCATTGATTGAGGTTTTTACTTTGATCTATCGTAGTAATTGAGTATCACTACAATTATTAACAAATCACAGGAATAATAATATTTGAGCGTATTTCAACAATATCGTTATTCGCATTGTTGAAAATACTATGAAAATAGCTAAAATTACGTCATAAGACCTGTGCACTATTTTGATCACTATGAAACCGCACCCAAAGTTAGTAAAAAGTACCATAGACCTTAATATTAATTTTAAATTTTTAAACGTATATAAAACGGGTGTCACTATAATCATTTGACATATCAATTAGTTGAAATGTAAAGGTTGTAAAAATGTAGTCACCCAACTTAATCTAAATTAAAGTGACGAACCAATTTACATAAATAATTGTTAGATGTAGTTTTTTTTTAAATATTGGATCTACCCAATATTTGATTGTATTACAGTATTTACATAAAAGGTTTAACCTTATGGTTTTTTTAAGTACGTACGTAGGAAATATGAAAGAAATAATGCAAAAGATACGAATGGGGAAAAAACAACAACACAATTTATATTGCACACGTCAATATGAAAAATCATGTGACTGTGCCATTGATTATTATTTTTCCTTTAATATAAAAAGTGATTTCTGAAATAAATTATGGTATTTTGGCTATAATTATAGTTATTTAATATCATGAAAAAAATATTGACATTGGCTAAAAAATTTATTTAATCGAGCAAATTATTTTTAACTGCCATTACTAAATCGTACTAAACGGTGCATGAAAGCCAATCATTTTATAAATCACTAGAAAATGACAGAAACTTGAGCCATTATTTTTAAAAAATAGTAAGCCTACTGTAACCGTTGATGGGAGAGCTTATGGAAATAATATAAGTGAAGGGCCAATTTAATTCCACGGGAGATAATAATAAACTTACAATAAGCGAAATGGATCTTTTATAACTGCTAGAGGACTAGCTGGACGATATGACGCTACGAAACGAATATTTTAATATCAATCGAGGATGATGAGGGGTGATGCAATGACAGGTGATGCTCTTAAGAGTGATGATCAAGAGGTGATATCAAGGGCAGTGATGATAATTTTAAGGACGGTGATGATGAGTTAGTGATACAGTATCTCAATAAGGTGATGATGTAAAGTGAAATTGGTGATAACTTTAAGTTCACGTGATGGATTAACGGAGTCTGATAACCAATCGTAAGTGTCGTTCTCTACCACAATTCTCGCAAGTCATTAATGTGAATGACAATATCTGATTACACAAAC